AAGATACATTAAGTAATTACTCATTTTATTTCCCAAGATTAGACTTATTAATGAAGCTATGGGGTAAATAGCATGATGGTAGTAATGAAATAGTGAAGTTATAAATAGTAGGGAAAACTGAAGAATACATAAACAGATATGACAGCTATTAAATATATTAACAGTATCAGAACACTGGTTGTCAGAAAGTTTGTGTCATAGCTGTGTCTGTCATCACTTAATCTATGAATCATTACATTAACTCATACTCTCTCAACCGGAAAATCACAGGACTGGCCCACACAATCTCACGCACGCACACAAGCATGCAAGCACGCATGCACACACACCTCATGATTGAATGATTTAGCCTGATCATCTGTTGCTTCATAGCTGAATATGTGAATCCATCCTCCAAGAGGAAACCGTAGACCCAGCTCTGTAGAGAATATGGCCCCTATAGGGTAAATGTTGAGCATATGATACAAAGGATATGAATAACTGCATCCCAATGTCCTCTTTTGTTCATACACTCACCCTTTTACACACAGTTTACATGCATATCCCTTTTCTCACTGCAGTGCAATTTCAATAATCTGTCTTATGTGTTACTTAATGCAGTGCTTGATAGAGACATGTATTCTCTGAGTTCCCTCAGGATGATTCTCTGGGGTTCTGTGCAGGCGATTGGCTGAGAGTATGCCAGGTTGGAGCAGGGATGTGATGGTGAAGGTATGCTCCCAATGTGAAGCAGGTGTCACACTCTACGTGCATAATATTGGGACAGGGACAGGGGAGGGGATCCTCCAATCTGTTGGTTACAAATCTCTCTCTTTCATCCCATACAGCCTATTATCAATTTGGTTACATAATGATCTCCTCCAAGGAATGAGGTAATCAGGCATATTTAGTGAGGGCAGTATTTAATTGAGTATTTAATGAATGAAGAATGTGACACAGAATGAGCTGACTGATGCCTTTTCCCCTCAGGTAGCCTATTATAATTAAATCTATGACAAAGTGAAGATATGAAAATGTGCTAAAATGTTCATAATTCTAAAAGGATTAGTTTAAAATATGTGATACTAAAAACTCCGCAAACACACAAGGAATATTAATAAATTGACATTCTGCAAAATTGCCTACATCAATAATCCTTGTGAAAAACTCACCTATCACGTGCGCGACCTGTGAGAGCCAAATGACCGCGAGAAGCCCAACTCCACAGCAGCAGAACCGCTGGAACGGCCGCCGTCTCCCAATCTGTACGGCCGTCTTCATTCCGAAGTCGGTCCCTCACCCATCAAAACATATCTGTTGCGGTCAAATTGGTTTCCACTTTCACTACAAGCAGTTTGCACTAGACTACACTTTCCCCTGCAACTTGAATGTGAAGTTAGCTGATTGTGTAAACCAGTGCTAAATCCTCGCAGACTGTGCTCAATTCGGATTACAATATTTTATTCTGCCAAGGCGCACCGTGACATCCATGCCTTGAGATCACACAAGATTACAAATGAGGAGTGGGTGGGTGGGTGTAGAAGTAACGACAGCACTTACAGCATTCAGATCGGCAGATAGATTGAAAGGTCGTTGACAGCAGAAGCAGGTTTAAACCCGAGTTGAGGCGGTGGCAAACGACTGGTTCTGAAGTCTAGTCCGTCGTCGTGTTGTGCGCTCCGTTAAAAGTGGGAACCACTAGGCGGCGACAGGCTCGGTGTCATGCAATAAATAGAGTGCAACAAAACAAAATAGAAAACAATGCTCAGCCAATTTTCAAAGATAGCCTATTTCCTCAAGCAACCAGTGTGATAATTTGACATCTGAACATAGTGGAAGAATTTATAATAGACAATATTAGGCCTACTACTGTGCTACTGCAGTCAAACAACAAGAGTGATGTGGTTGGCGACATACAAAATTGGCCTGGTTTAAACATTTCACAGACATTATATCTGAACAGGAGAGAGGCCGTTTCTTTCCCCTCTCAACACACACAGGCACACAGACAGACACCAGTGCATGCTGCCTATGTTTACAGAACATCGGTGAGTACAACCTGCATTATATCCTTGCGCTACAGTATGTCTGGCACACGTTTTGCTCTGGCCCCTAGTGAAGATTCTGCCCGCTGCTCCAACCCCAAATAAAGACATAAGCCCGGTTATTGTTGTCATCAGCCCTTCTCCAGGTGTCAGGCCTGGGAAGATAAAGAGCTTCAACGCGGCTGGTGTTTAGGAAAGCTTTCCAGAGCACACAGTTCAGGGAAGTGTTTGTGTTATGTTGTCCTGACTTGTTATGGATCACGATTGTGTAGAAGAGACTTGAAACATGTATTTGCCTTTCTTTATACTGTATGCACTCAAGAAGACATTTAACATAGTCAAACACAGGCCTCAGTTTTCTGTAGTGTTTACTGTGTGTGTATGTGCATGCACATGCATGAGAAGAGTGTGCATGCACTATATAGTACATTCCAGAGGAATTCCATTAAATAAACACTTCCCTTCCTTTATTTAGTCATGTTGTCATTACACACTTTGTCACTTGTGTTTCACATGCAGTAAAACTGCTCAGACCAATGGTAATGCTCTCCATATCTAGTCTGTACAGTCACCCATAGAAAGTCCTATATCTACTTCTGATTGTATCAGTTACATGAATGATGCTGATCACAGAAAATGTAATGTAGGCTATTCAACTGTGAACGGTCTAGTTATTGGATGACTGCAGTCGGGGTTGTGTTTTATTTCAATAACCAGACAGAGTAAAACGTATAATGTAGACGTTGTGACACACAACCGCTTTGTTAGACACTGCAGTAGGTGTTAGGACTTGTAATCTGGAGTTATCATGTTGTTGTCACATTATTATCAACATGTTGCTTTTTATTAGACTAAATCGCATCAAAAGAACAAACCTCAATGGGATATTGAATAAAGGGATTTAAGCTTCCCAACACTGCCATTTCTCAGGACTCACAAAGAAAGAACGAGACATTGACAATCATAGCATTGACACACCAACCACTTCTAAAGGTACAGAGGATTCTTTATTGCCATGAGCCCTCCAGTTCACAGTACATGAACAACATTTAGTCAATTTACTTTTCTCATGAATGAATTAACAGGTTTGGAGGTGGCATCATACTGAAAACATGATTTTGTGTTTTACAATACATTCCCTCAGTGTTCCACTGCCTGGTTATGGTAAAGTCAACTCTTTAACTGGCTGAGCAGAGTGTACAATGTGTGCTACCATTCTGACATGATGTGTGGCCAGGCCTCCCCTAAACCTACACTGGGGATATGATTTTATGTGTGGTTCCATTGGTAATAATGTACTGTATTCTATCTTCCCTACCGTATGGCCACATGAATACATCCCCTTCTACAACAGCAACAAAGAGATGACAATGTGGAAGTAGGACACATACTGTACTGCGAGCATGGTTTCCTGTAAGGATGATGCGATGACACATAAGGCAAACAAATAAGAGGATAAAAGAAAAACACTGGTCATTGGCACCTCTACTACAGTATGGATGGGAGGAGGCAACAACCACAATGTCTCTACCAGGGATAATTCTCACAGGTTTACTATTGGCTGGGTGGAGATCGTTTGCCAGCTGATGTAGTCTAGAGCAGATGAGGACTATTGCATTGTTACCATCTGCAATGTGTTGTTAGGGGTCACTCAGGCATACAATGTGTCGTTAGGGGTCACTCAGGCATACTTTTGGTGATACATAAATGGGGGTTCCAAGTGCACTCAGAGTGTGATTTGGAGGATGGTTCATGTCCAAATGATTGTTGAAAGTTATGTTTTTCTGCATCGAATGATTGTGATTCAATAGGGTTGGAGATACTGGTCTTAAACCAGCGCTATACGGATAATTTCCTTTAACCTAACAAAAGCAAACACAAACTTCATATCGTCTTCATATAACCTTTATGACACTTTTCTGGGGTCCCTAAACCCATCTTTTGGATTTAAGGGCCACAGATCATCAGTGGGAGGATTGAAGAGCAGACCCTGGAGAGACCCCATACCAACCAACCATACATCTACCACTGTCATGTGGCAGACACACCTGTCTATCCTGCAGGATACAGGACAACCTGACACTGTCTGCAAACAATGACCATGAAGAACTGAAATGAAGACACCAAGCTGAGTTACCATACATTACAATTTCAGGTAGGCACAATGTCTGAGAAAGAAGCCTTCACATGAACCAGTCTGTCCTGTCCTCTCTGGAGAGTCCGAGAGTCACTCTTTAAGGCATACCTAGTGGCATTAGAGACCTTATTGAACGTGAACGTAGGAGCTCTGAATGAATAGCTCAATACTAGAATGATAACGATAACCATTATCATTTCCCCAAGAAATACTTTAACATTGCAGAAATATTTTTCCTCTCGTCTTCTTGTGTTTGAATGTATATATAAAACTGATTCTTCCTTAAAACCAACCCCCATCATACCATTTTAACTTTATAGCACATGTAATTTCTACCTCCCTCCCCTTGTATTAACACATCTAACAGGGAATTCCACATTTGCAAGATTAATAAGTTATTACATTTTTTACATACACACACACACACACACACAGGGGAGCTAGGAAGTTGCCTGGCGCACTATCATGCTTCATCAATCTCCTACAATCTGAAGAACTATACAGAAGAACACAGTAAAACATCAGATATTCTTACACTTCTCCACTCTGCTAATCATTTCCAACAACAAGGCATCACCATTTTAAACAGCATGGCTCAAACAGCCTGTTCGGGCACATTTACAATAGTCTGCATATTAAACCATCCTGCAATTGAGGGCATACACAACCGAATGCACTAAGTCGCACTGAGCAGTACAGCTGTACATGTCGTCTTCACATTTAGATAAAGTTTAGATTTATAATTTAATTTGAATATATCATTATCTGCTGGTACCGGGTAATCACAGTGACTCTAAAATAAAACTACAAGAGGAAGTAAAAGAGTATATACAACAAACAAGAGCTTTGAGTGACGATTGTTTGGCATCCCTTCCAGAGTTTGAGTAGTTAGAGTTGAGTGGGGTGTAGGAGAGCTGCCTTGGCATCTTTTGGCAGAACAGTCTTGTAGGAGGAATAATCCCGTTCTCCTCTGATCTCACATTGTTTTTGGCGTCATCAGCAGTGGACCTGAAGGTGAGGTGGGGTGAGGTGAAGGGGTGAGATCAAATCCACTTAAATTTTTCAAGCAAGGCATAAACCTGGGCAGGAGGTTAAATATGTACCCTGTCCCATGCCGATATAGGTGATGCTAAAAGTGCAAGAACAACGCAGAAACACACATACAGTAGGTACACACGCAAAAACATTAGGGTGAAATGGGGGACTCCTTCACCCACAGGCAACCACTCCATTCTGAATTCATTTCAAATACACTGAATTGTCATTGTAGACATCAAACACAAAATATATTGGAACACAGAAGGATGTGTTCACTAAAGGAATCCTCTCTAGTTCACATTAAATCCCTACAATATTTTTGTCTAAAAGGAGAGCTGCCTTGTGGCAATGCATGGTTCAGTCCAGCAGGAGGTGCACTTTCTACAGCATAGCTTCTACAGCCAGTCTTTCATCTCTCCAATTGTTTCATCCTCAGCAGAGGTATTATCCACTTCAATATCCGTTTCAACTCAATCAGAATTAATTCGGTGAGTCAATTCCCTTATAAGTAAAGTGTGTCTCATTCACTGGAAGCAGACGTGAAATACTCAAGTCCACAACCCTTGAAATGAAGCTGAGGAGGTATGGAGGGGAGAGAATGGTGTCTCTACACAATAAATTAACTAATCCGTGATAAGGTTGGCAGAGACAGGTAGGGTCAGTATGCATCATTCCGTCTATTCAAGCAGGTTACCTGCAGGCATGCAATTGTCATTTTCCCTTTTTCTGTATAATATGTAGATCCAAGGCCCTCCACTCTAAGGGTGCACAGCTGAACTGTTCTCATTCCAAGACGTTGCATATCATGGAGTGGGTTGAGCAGAGAGGAGAGGGAGACTACTGTTTACATACGTACATCATGAGACATACACACGCTTTGTGTCAATTGAAATAAACAGCCACCAAACATGCTGCACACGTGTCTCTTCATCTAAATCAATTGGGTTGTTTTAAGCAATTGCTATTCTGCCCAACTTGTCAAGTATGTGAAGCAAGATAAAAGAACCATAGTGACGCACGCACACACACACACTCACTTGCGCACACTCAAGGTACAAAACACACTCTTGGGTAAAGCACAACCATTGGTCAATCTATTGAGAAGACCATCAGATGGTGAGAAATGTCTCAGAGTTGTTTTTTGAGTTGGTTCTGCACCCATGGGCTTGCCCAGAGGTAAAATGTCGTCCTACAGAATGCAGAGTATTGTGCATGTGTCTATATACGTGGTGTAGAGAAGGTTGATGTACTCTGCAGGTGTGTTTGTATACAATATTGAATGCGGTGTGTGTCCGGCGTGTATGTTTGTGATCTGTGTGCGATCGTCTGTGTGTATTTGTTTGTTTGTGTGTGATCTGTGTGTGTGTCCACAGTGTGTACTGTGGTGGAGCTAACAGGGCTTGTTGACATTGCACAGCAGCTCGGTGACTTTGATGAGGCGGGCCACGGTGCTCTGGGATTCCTCCTGCAGCCGCTGGTTATTCTGCCTGAGGCTCTGCACCTCGGCCTGCAGCACCGCCTTGTCCTCCTTCTCCTGCCAGGGAGCGGCACACAACAACACCCGTCTGTCAGACCACCATGGCTGGGATGGATGGAGGGGTGAGAGAGGGCTGGGTATGGGTGGAGGTGGGTGAGGGGTGGCAGCATGGAGTGGGCAAGACTACAGGCACACACAGACAGAGGGTTTCACAAACATACACATACATGCCTTGTAGTGGTGGAGGCAGTGCAAGACAGGGTACTGGAGAAGCACACACACATACCAGATGCTTGCACGCACACACACGCAAATACAAACCAATTTCCTTCCATAAAAGCACTCCATGGGGAGAGGTGGTGTATGGAGGAAATGTTCAGACGGATTTACTATGGCAACCACATGTTTGAGACTATACAACCAATTCATAAATCAATCTCTTATTAAAGGTCCAGTGCAGTCAACAACTTGATTTTCCTGTGTTTTATGTATATTTCCACACTGTGAGGTTGGAATAATACTGTGAAATTGTGAACTTTATGATAATGCCATTTTAGCTGTTAGAAAAGACCGCCAGAAATGTCAGACTGTTTTGGTGGGATGGAGTTTTGGCCTGCCTGGTGACATCACATTTCTAATGTAGCTGATTGTTATACAAGTGACATTTCTATAAAGACTCAAGCTCCAAAATGACTTGCATTCCTAATCTACCAAACAGCAGGGGTCACCCTAGTCCCTCACTACTTGGAACTGAGTTTGAAATCAGCTATTGCAACTTTCAGAGCGGTGATTTGCCATAGTAAATGCTTCCTGTTTGCTATGTCATATACGGTAGCAACAGAGACAGGAAACCAGAGACTCAGGATAGACAAACAGACAGGGGCCACTACCACCACAACCAGTTTTGCCAACTGCATTACTTTCACACTACCTTTAACTGACTTTTTGTAACCCTCCAAAAGTGTAGTGCATTGCCACATCTTCTGTTCACTTGCAGAACAAAGTCATTGATCAATAAAGAAAGATTGCTTCATTGCAGAAAGTTGGCAACACTGAGTGCAGAGTAATATGCCAGATCCCTTTACAGAAAAAACACATGAATTTCACGTGACCACGTGAAGTGTTACACAAATACATATTTTCATGTGATCGCGTGCTCTTATGTGAAGTTAATGTGATAAGGTGACAACATGTAAAGCAACATGTGATAACACCAAACTACACGTGAAATCGTGATCACATGTGAAAACATGTCATCACATGTGAAGTGTTCCAATCATGTGATTTTGTAAAATCATGTGATTTTCCACATGTGAAATCATGTGGTTTTTCTGTAAGGGATTCGCTGCAGTGGGTAAGGGGTTTGAGCAATGTTATGAAATGTAAGCTCATTGTAACTTAATCTTCAATAAGTACAGTGTGCCATGAGTGAGCGAGCTATACTTCGCCTGGCCAATTAACTTGGTGATTGGATTTATTCAAACTCAATCCCAAAAATAAATGGCATGAATGTAATGTAATATTGCCTTCACACACCATTGCCTTGTGTAATGGTGTTGATTTATTTGATTGTGTACACAGAGAGTGGGTTCTATCCTGACAGACTCCAGTGCTGTCTGTCTGTCTGCTGGGTTGTGAGTCGTGGGACTCGTGGCATGAGGAGTGGGCGGTTTATGGTTAGTTGACAATAACAATTAATGATAGATGAAACCAGTTAGGTATTATCATCAATCTGGGTCAATAGGACTTCTCTTTGGTAGCAGCAGTACTGTATGGCCTTGCTGGTTCCCTAGTGGGCCATAGTGCAACTTTGCCCTAAAGCAAATAAATTAACCTGAAATAACCAGTACTCAGCTTTATAATTGGAAAATTAACAAATATAGAGATGTAACTCACACAGAAAGCAAAGGAACACATTCTCATCACCACATCAGATGATTGCTCATACTGTACTAGCTCCAGTACTGTAAACCCTCCCTGTCTTGGCAGTCATGGACAGAAACCAAAGACTAACCAAAAGTAGTCTATGTGACACATTACACTTCGGAATGGAACACAACCAGCTCCTCCCACAATCTTCGGTGAGTCCTATTTCTACTGAACATACTAGGGACAGCCCATAACCAACCATGCTCACTCACTCTCCCAGGGCAGAGGGTAAACAACAGAGAAAAGTGGAAATGGGTCATCTGATGTGGCAGTTCCCTGTTAGGTTGTCCTCCTTCTTGGTTCATTGTCCCTGACAGTCAATGTCTCTGTGTTGTCTAAATTGATGATAATACTGTGTTAATGGTGAGTTTTCAGAGGAAGCGTAGGGAGTTAAAGACAAAAACAGAGGGTAAGACTTTGGTTATGTTGGTGTTATAGCCACAGGATTGTGACCAGAATATATGCAGAGTTTGATTCTTTTGTGTGCTTTATGTCTCACATGTTTCAAGAACCAAGTTGAGCGAATAGCATTTGCAACAAAATCCTTAGAATGTCATTCACTTAGTTGGATGCCAGTTTTAAACTCAGGCAGTGTGGCATCTCTTGGATATATGAGTGGTGAAAAGGACTTGGTTGGAGGGGATATAGAACACTGCATACCATAGGGTTTCATTTGACCTCCGAGATTAAACACCCTTGTTACTGTAACACAGGAATCATGTTTCACCCAATTGAGAATGTGTTTAAGGATGCTTGGGAGGCTTCCAAACTCTCTTTCTCTCTCCTTCTTTCGCCCTTTCTCTCTCCCCCTTTCTCCAATTTGCTTCTTCCTTTTCCTCTCCACATGCTCTAAGTTGTGTAATCAAGTTAACATTACAAGAGTAACTAGTCATTCAGCAGTTGTGAGGACTTCAAATGACATCCCCATGTCCCTATGTTTCCCAGAGTAGAGCCGGTGAATGGAGTGAGAAAATGGTGCTAAGAGATCCAGAGGCTGCACAGAGGGATGACTGACAGCCAGTCAGACTTTCAGGGTTGTGAAGAGGAACTTCACTTCAATTTTTCACATCCATGAAGGACCCCAGTGGTGGTTTTGGGTTATTGGGTTAATGAACTCGGGCCTGTTTTTTAGTAGATCCATTTCCAAATGTTATTGTTTTGCTGTCTTAACACAACAACAGAGGAAAAATCTCATGCTGTACTTGCCTCTAATGCCATTGGTCGCTTAGTGTTGAGAGAGTGAGCATGGTTGCCCAAAGTCCCTCCAGCCAATCTTCTCATCTCCTCTGTTCACCCTGCCCAATGACAAGACAGGTTTCTTTTGCTTGTCCCGCCTGCAGCCCGCCCTACCTCTACATTCCCTCTGTGTGTTTGTGTGTCTGCAGTAGGAGTCAGGGGGTTGGGGGAGGCGGAGGGAGGGGGGGGGGGGGGGGGGGGGGGGGGGGGGGGGGGGGTCACTGTGTGGGCAGGATGCTGTGAGGGGGGTCTGGGGAGGGGCTGTGGTTGGCCATCTGAATTGGGAGTACCTTTTGCAGGTCATCCTGCAGCCTCTTCAGCATGGCCTCCAGCTGGGACACCTTCTCCTCCAGGTGGCCAGGGGAGTCACTGCAGGGACACGGGACAGAGACAAATGCTCAGCATAATGCATAGACAGGTAACAGCCAAAATAAAGGAAACAGGTAACAGCCAAAATAAAGGAAACACCAACATAAAGTGTCTTAATAGGGCGTTGGGCCACCATGAGCTGCCAGAACAGCTTCAATGCACCATGGCATAGATTCTACAGTCTGTGAAACCATTCTTCCACGAGAAATTCCATAATCTTTTTTTTTTTTATGGTGGTGGATAACGAGGTCTCAATATCCGCTCCAGAATCTCCCATTAGTGTTCAAATGGGTTGAGATCTGGTGACTGAGACACACACACACACAACCTTTAAACCCCCTATGCTCCTGTGAGACCACTACTTCAAAGTCACTGAGATCTCTTCTAGCCATGGTAGCCAAAATAATGGGCAACTGAGCATTTTTATATATGACCCTAAGCATGATGGGATGTTAATTCCTTAATTAACTCAGGAACCACACCTGTGTGGAAGCACCTGCTTTCAATATACTTTGTATCCCTCATTTACTCAAGTGTTTGCATTATTTTGGCAGTTACCTGTAATTACGAAAGTATTCACCCCCCTTGGCATTTTTACTATTTTTTTTGCCTTACAACCTGGAATTAAAATTGATTTTTTGGGGGTTTGTATCATTTGATTTACACAACATGCCTACCACTTTGAAGATGCTAAATATTTTTTATTGTGAAACAAACAAGAAATAAGACAAAAAAACTGAAAACTTGAGCGTGCATAACTACTTTGTAGAGCCACCTTTTGCAGCAATTACAGCTGGAAGTCTCTTGGGGTATGTCTCTATAAGCTTGGCAAATCTAGCCACTGGGATTTTTGCCCATTCTTCAAGGCAAAGCTGCTCCAGCTCCTTCAAGTTGGATGGGTTTCGCTGGTGTACAGCAATCTTTAAGTCATACCACAGATTCTCAATTGGATTGAGGTCTGGTCTTTGACTAGGCCATACCAAGAAATTTAAATGTTTCTCCTTAAACCACTCGAGTGTTGCTTTAGCAGTATGCTTATGGTCATTGTCCTGCTGGAAGGTGAACCTCCATCCCAGTCTCAAATCTCTGGAAGACTGAAACAGGTTTCCCTGTATTTAGCACCATCTATCATTCCTTCAATTCTGACCAGTTTCCCAGTCCCTGCCGATGAAAAACATCCCCACAGCATGATGCTGCCACCACCATGCTTCACTGTGGGGATGGTGTTCTCGGGGTGATGAGAGGTGTTGGGTTTGCGCCAGATATAGCGTTTTCCTTGATGGCCAAAAAGCTCAATTTTAGTCTCATCTGACCAGAGTACCTTCTTCCATATGTTTGGGGAGTCTCCCACATGCCTTTTGGCGAACACCAAACGTGTTTGCTTATTTTATTCTTTAAGCAATGGCTTTTTTCTGGCCACTCTTCCATAAAGCCCAGCTCTGTGGAGTGTACGGCTTAAAGTGGTCCTATGGACAGATACTCCAATCTCCGCTGTGGAGCTTTGCAGCTCCTTCAGGGTTATCTTTGTTGCCTCTCTGATTAATGCCCTCCTTGCCTGGTCCGTGAGTTTTGGTGGGCGGCCCTCTCTTGGCAGGTTTGTTGTGGTGCATTATTCTTTTAATTTTTTAATAATGGATTTAATGGTGCTCCGTGGGATGTTCAAAGTTTCGGATATTATTTTATAACCCAACCCTGATCTGTACTTCTCCACAACTTTGTCCCTGACCTATTTGGAGAGCTCCTTGGTCTTCATGGTGCCGCTTGCTTGGTGGTGCCCCTTGCTTAGTGGTGTTGCAGACTCTGGGGCCTTTCAGAACAGGTGTATATATACTGAGATCATGTGATAGATCATGTGACACTTAGATTGCACACAGGTGGACTTTATTTAACTAATTATGTGACTTCTGAAGGTAATTGTTTGCACCAGATCTTATTTAGGGGCTTCATAGTTAGGTAGTGTCTGTATGTGTTACCTGTAGTTAGGTGGTGTCTGTATGTGTTACCTGTAGTTAGGTGGTGTCTGTATGTGTTACCTGTAGTTAGGTAGTATAAGTATGTGTTACCTGTAGTTAGGTAGTGTATGTGTGTGTTAACTGTAGTTAGGTAGTGTCAGTATGTGTTACCTGTAGTTAGGTAGTATCTGTATGTGTTACCTGTAGTTAGGTAGTGTCTGTATGTGTTACCTGTAGTTAGGTAGTGTCTGTATGTGTTATCTGTAGTTAGGTAGTGTCTGTATGTGTTATCTGTAGTTAGGTAGTGTCTGTATGTGTTACCTGTAGTTAGGTAGTGTCAGTATGTGTTACCTGTAGTTAGGTGGTGGCTGTTTGTGTTACCTGTCGTTAGATAGTGTCAGTATGTGTTACCTGTAGTTAGGTGGTGGCTGTATGTTTTACCTGTAGTTAGGTAGTGTCTGAATGTTTCACCTGTAGTTAGGTAGTGTCTGTATGTGTTATCTGTAGTTAGCTAGTGTCAGTATGTGTTACCTGTAGTTAGGTAGTGTCTGTGTGTGTTACCTGTAGTTAGCTAGTGTCAGTATGTGTTACCTGTAGTTGCGTAGTGTCTGTATTTGTTACCTGTGGTTAGGTAGTGTCTGTATGTGTTACCTGTAGTTAGGTAGTGTCTGAATGTTTCACCTGTAGTTAGGTAGTGTCTGTGTGTGTTACCTGTAGTTAGCTAGTGTCAGTATGTGTTACCTGTAGTTGCGTAGTGTCTGTATGTGTTACCTGTAGTTAGGTAGTGTCAGTTTGTGTTACCTGTAGTTAGGTAGTGTCTGTATGTGTTACCTGTAGTTAGGTAGTGTCTGTATGTGTTACCTGTAGTTAGGTAGTGTCTGTATGTGTTACCTGTAGTTAGGTAGTGTCAGTATGTGTTACCTGTAGTTAGGTAGTGTCTGTATGTGTTACCTGTAGTTAGGTAGTGTCAGTATGTGTTACCTGTAGTTAGGTAGTGTCTGTATGTGTTACCTGTAGTTAGGTAGTGTCAGTATGTGTTACCTGTAGTTAGGTAGTGTCTGTATGTGTTACCTGTAGTTAGGTAGTGTCTGTATGTGTTACCTGTAGTTAGGTCGTGTCAGTATGTGGTACCTGTAGTTACAGTGAGGGAAAAAATATTTGATCCCCTGCTGATTGGATGGAAACAGACAAACAATATTCTATGTTTAGATCATGAAAGTTTCAAAGTAACGAGATTCATTGTCACCAATTAGCATGGAGCATGAACCAATTAGACTACATTATCTATGGATGTAATATTTCATCATCATTCTTTATCAGACACCGTTTCTATGGTCCCCTTGTAACCTTCCTTGATGAGCTCGATCAGGCCTGTAGAGCTGGTGGCGTGACCTATGTCATTGTGTGGGATAATGTCAGGTTCCACCATGCTCATATGGTGTAGTTAGGTGGTGTCTGAATGTGTTACCTGTAGTTAGGTAGTGTCTGTATGTGTTACCTGTAGTTAGGTAGTGTCTGTATGTGTTACCTGTAGTTAGGTGGTGTCTATATGTGTTACCTGTAGTTAGGTAGTGTCTGTGTGTGTTACCTGTTGTTAGGTAGTGTCAGTATGTGTTACCTGTAGTTAGGTAGTGTCTGTATGTGTTACCTGTAGTTAGGTAGTGTCAGTATGTGTTACCTGTAGTTAGGTAGTGTATGTGTGTGTTACCTGTAGTTAGGTGGTGTCTATATGTGTTACCTGTAGTTAGGTAGTGTCTGTATGTGTTACCTGTAGTTAGGTAGTGTCAGTATGTGTTACCTGTAGTTAGGTAGTGTCTGTATGTGTTACCTGTAGTTAGGTAGTGTCTGTATGTGTTACCTGTAGTTAGGTAGTGTCTGTATGTGTTACCTGTAGTTAGGTAGTGTCAGTATGTGTTACATGTAGTTAGGTAGTGTCAGTATGTGTTACCTGTAGTTTGGTAGTGTCAGTATGTGTTACCTGTAGTTAGGTAGTGTCAGTATGTGTTACCTGTAGTTAGGTAGTGTCTGTATGTGTTACCTGTAGTTAGGTAGTGTCAGTATGTGTTACCTGTAGTTAGGTCGTGTCAGTATGTGGTACCTGTAGTTACAGTGAGGGAAAAAATATTTGATCCCCTGCTGATTGGATGGAAACAGACAAACAATATTCTATGTTTAGATCATGAAAGTTTCAAAGTAACGAGATTCATTGTCACCAATTAGCATGGAGCATGAACCAATTAGACTACATTATCTATGGATGTAATATTTCATCATCATTCTTTATCAGACACCGTTTCTATGGTCCCCTTGTAACCTTCCTTGATGAGCTCGATCAGGCCTGTAGAGCTGGTGGCGTGACCTATGTCATTGTGTGGGATAATGTCAGGTTCCACCATGCTCATATGGTGTAGTTAGGTGGTGTCTGAATGTGTTACCTGTAGTTAGGTAGTGTCTGTATGTGTTACCTGTAGTTAGGTAGTGTCTGTATGTGTTACCTGTAGTTAGGTGGTGTCTATATGTGTTACCTGTAGTTAGGTAGTGTCTGTGTGTGTTACCTGTTGTTAGGTAGTGTCAGTATGTGTTACCTGTAGTTAGGTAGTGTCTGTATGTGTTACCTGTAGTTAGGTAGTGTCAGTATGTGTTACCTGTAGTTAGGTAGTGTATGTGTGTGTTACCTGTAGTTAGGTGGTGTCTATATGTGTTACCTGTAGTTAGGTAGTGTCTGTATGTGTTACCTGTAGTTAGGTAGTGTCAGTATGTGTTACCTGTAGTTAGGTAGTGTCTGTATGTGTTACCTGTAGTTAGGTAGTGTCTGTATGTGTTACCTGTAGTTAGGTAGTGTCTGTATGTGTTACCTGTAGTTAGGTAGTGTCAGTATGTGTTACATGTAGTTAGGTAGTGTCAGTATGTGTTACCTGTAGTTTGGTAGTGTCAGTATGTGTTACCTGTAGTTAGGTAGTGTCAGTATGTGTTACCTGTAGTTAGGTAGTGTCTGTATGTGTTACCTGTAGTTAGGTAGTGTCAGTATGTGTTACCTGTAGTTAGGTAGTGTCTGTATGTGTTACCTGTAGTTAGGTAGTGTCAGTATGTGTTACCTGTAGTTAGGTAGTGTCAGTATGTGTTACCTGTAGTTAGGTAGTGTCAGTATGTGTTACCTGTAGTTAGGTAGTGTCTGTATGTGTTACCTGTAGTTAGGTAGTGTCAGTATGTGTTACCTGTAGTTAGGTAGTGTCAGTATGTGTTACCTGTAGTTAGGTAGTGTCAGTATGTGTTACCTGTAGTTAGGTAGTGTCAGTATGTGTTACCTGTAGTTAGGTAGTGTCAGTATGTGTTACCTGTAGTTAGGTAGTGTCAGTATGTGTTACCTGTAGTTAGGTAGTGTCAGTATGTGTTACCTGTAGTTAGGTAGTGTCAGTATGTGTTACCTGTACGGACCCTGTCTTTTGGTTTGGTGTGTGTGTGTATTAGAAGATAGTGAGTAAAATATATGTAAGTTTGTGAGCAAGAGAGACATGGAGTCAGAATGGGAGAGACAATAAGGAGGGAATGGGCTGAAAGAGAAACGCCACCACACTGAGTCAAGGAGGGAGGCTGATGCGCTGACTAAATCCGAATGAAAATACATGACAGAACAGAGAATAAGTGTTAGTTAGTTGGAGACTTCAAGAAAGAGAATGTGTGAGATATGAGGAGGAGAGAGATAAGGACATGCAATATGCCAATGAGCCAGTATCATGATGCGCAACAGAGGCTGAACTATGAAAAATGTTCAATAGTCCATCTCTGAATCAGAAACTCCCACAGCCACAGATCCACACAATGAGTCAGACACCATTTGGAGTTCACATACACAGAGAAACATGCAGAGGTCTACAGTGACCCACTCTCAGTGTGTGTGTGTGTGTGTGTGTGTGTGTGTGTGTGTGTGTGTGTGTGTGTACAGCTAGAGACTCAAACCCACCTGTCCTTCATGTCCTTTAGCTTTCCATCTGCTCCTTGGGTCCCATCTCCTGCTTTACGGTCTGAAACATGACACATCACTCAACCATGTTAGTCACTGAGCTCAACCACACAGAGACAGTCATAGAAACTGAAGAGAAGATGTACAGTGTTTTGTTTTCAACACTGCTACTATTGCCATTTCCAGTGCTAATGTGTGAAATATGTCAGATGTATTTAGTTTTAAAAAACATTGTCTGTTGTAATCCCATGCAGATGTCTTCTTACCTTCCCGTGACAAGGCCTCTAGGATGCTGCGGCAGGCAGTGGCTAGGTCAGCTATAGACTGCCACTCCTCCTCTGAGGAATCTGTGGTCTCGGACAGGACTGAGAGAGAAAATAGGGTTTCAATGTGCTTTCATAACAAAGGCATATCTCTGAGGGGAGTAGCAGACCATGAATGTATAGAAGACAATACAGTACGACAACACAATAGAATTGTGGGATTTATGAGCAGGCAAATTCATTCTCTGGTTTAACAATGACAAAGAGTCACCACTAGGGGATGCTATCACAATGCTTTGCTGCCTCGGTGGCACTGGCCGACTAGCTGCAGTGCGATAGTGAGATGTGGGTTCTTTCTGTCTCTGTGTGTGACTGCCTTCTGGAGTGTGGGGAAGGAAACAGAGGCAATCTCCTCTGAAAAAGCTAAAGTATTTGCTGAGAGGATGAGTGTGTGTGCTCTTATAGAAATGATGAGTGTAATAGCCTCATGGCAGAGAAAGAGAGAGAGCAGATGGTCCAAAAGGGATCCCTGATTTGAGGCAGCCTAAACCCCACCCCTCCCACCCCCCATCTGTCCCTCCTTTAGACTGGAGCTGGTAGGGGGTGGTAGAGGGGCGGGGGGCATATTGGGTTAGTGGGATAGGGGGCAGCCTAGATGAAAGACGAGGGACAAAGGGATGGAAGGGAGGGCTAAAGGAGGATAATGAGGAGAGGGGTTTAGGGGAGAAAGGGTCTGGAGGCTAAAAAGGGATTTGAGGCTCAATTACAGCAGAGAGCATTTTTAACAGTTGTAATTGTTCAATTTCAGCACCATTCCGCCTGGCCTTATCAGCTGGTACAGGGCACAGGGTCTGCACAGAGGACTTTTGTTTCAGACAGCTGTCTGTCTGTTTGTCCAATCAGCCTTCACACTCCTCCTTTTATCATGGCTACTCATCTCTCTCTCTTTACAGTTTGTTTCTTTTGTTTGACTGCTCTCACTCTCAAGCTGTTGGTGCTGTGGCAGAGGAACAACTGTCTGTTTGTCATCGATTATGAGTGTTATCAAGATCACTGAGGAGATGCCTCTCTGCTATCGTCCATGCAGGCTGTTTTATACAGGAGAAATACATAGGAAGTAGGATTCATAACACATCACCAACCTCATCTAAAAAGAGGAAGTCTATCTAGGAGAAGTTGATATTTGAGGATGTGTTGATGGTATAGAGGTGTGTGAAGACATTTGAGAGAAATGGGGATGTTGTGGAGGATGGAGTGATGGCTGTGTAGTGGAATACCCACTCTTGGTGATGGAGTTGTGTAGGCTCAGAGCTCGGGAGTTTCTCTCTGCTCTGTCCAGACACGACAACCGGGTGGAGGACAGGGAGGGGTCACTCGCTAATGCCCTCTGCTCACCCAACTCAGCCCCTACAAACTAGAGAGAGAGAGAGAGAGAGAGAGAGAGAGAGAGAGAGAGAGAGAGAGAGAGAGAGAGAGAGGGGGGGGGGGTTAGAGGTTTATCGAATAGGAAACCTTCATCAGATCACTCTCCAGATTGTCATCTTTCTTCATGTCCGTGTGTGTCTCTGTACCTGTTCCTCGTTCAGGGGCACCTTGGGTTTGACAGCCAGAATGAGGTCAGGCATGGCGTCGCTCAGCTCCCCTAGGTTCTCATAGATGTGACGTTCCACCTTTACACCCACGTTGTCATACACATGCCTGTCACAGAGATACGGGGAGATTGAGACATACTGTACGTAGATTATAAATCCGGTGTTTATACTAATGACTTTCCAATCCAATCTGGAGGGCAAACTAGTTAATCTAGTAATCTTCAGGATAGCAAAAATGTGTGCTAAGATTTGAATTTAGCAGTCTGCTTCTGCTTACAGTGAAACCATAAATACACACACACAAAATAATACCTCATAAAACCATTATGTCTTAACGCAGGATGACTAGGATACAGGGCTTGACATTAAATGTTTTAGCCACTTATCCTTGGGACAAGTAGAACAGATTTTTCACTTGTCCATAAACTGAAGTCACTTGTACCCCCCCCCCCAAAAAAAAATGTCTGTAACACCATTTTTACATAATTGTATGATGCAAGGAACCGCTTTACAAAATAAAATGCATTGTTATCTTTTTAACGATATTTTTACACTCTTCGCATATTCAAGTCTGCCTCAAAATACAACACTGCCCCTTTAAGGCTCTCCTGGAAGATGGTTGGCCACCCTTGGTAGCCTATAAAATATTACAACATTACAATTACAACAAAATACTTTTTATGTCATTATAAAATAAATTCCCTCCAGGGCTCGAAATGTATGTCGTCCCATTGTCCCTGGGACGATAAAAGATATGTCTACAGTTCAAAACTGACTCTGGGACAGTTCGGGGGCGAGAGATCCAAAATGTATACAACCAACATTTATTTGTATAAATGTTTGTTTGTATAAATGTTTATAAAACATTTTAAAAAGCAATGAGGCTGATGCAACAAACCAGACCATTAAGCTTAAAATGTTGATAAAGTTTATATATTATTTCTTCATATTATAAGCTCAACAATGCATATTATATGCTCAACAATGCATATTATAAGCTCAACAATGCACACATGGCTGTAGGCTACGTGCAAAACACCTTTCTCAAAAACGCACCACATGCACAAGCGGTTCTATGTCCGATGAAAATATCTGTTAGAAAGTACGAGGGGAAATCTAAAGATGCATCAACTAGCATGAGTTACTAATATGACTAGGATTGTGCCTTTGGCTGCCTGACAATACAATAATGTTGATTTGAAAACCAATAGAACATGATAAAAATGCTGGTTTCAATAGCATATTAAGTGTTTATAAAATAATTCCCTCAACATTTATATGGTCGTATTTTGGCTAGGCTACTTTGAAACAAGGTAAGACATGCTTCATAAAATTACATAAAACGTCCAGGTTTTAAACAATTACGTTTATTGTTAAATAGTTTCAAAATGCTGAACCGCCTCCACTCAGATTCAAGGTGGGTCATGTGCAGTGTGTAACAGGGCAGGCACTGTCCTTTACTCTCCGGTCTCGTGACCACTTTATCTAAATGAACCATGCCTGGAGTATGTCGACAGAATCAAGCCTTTAGATGTTAATGTTATCTTTTTTTTTTTTTTTTTGCATTAATGTTAATTATCCTTCATTATATTTGTCAAACATGACTGGCGTTTAACCTATATTTATGGAATTAAAAGTCTCATTAAAGTTTGGCTCCATTTTCTGGGGCCTTTCTCATGCCAGCATGGGTTTGGACATCAGGCTGTAGCCCGTATGCATATCACCTACACTTTGACCTGTAGGCTCTTTTATTTATGTACATGGAAAATCGATTAAAATATTATTGGCTTCTCTGATCAGAGTAATTGTTAGATATTGTGATTTTTGTGTAATATTTTGTTACTTGTCCATTCGGACAACTTATATCTACACTGAGTGTATAAAACATTAGGAACACCTTCCTAATATTGAGTTGCACCCCCTTTTGCCCATGGAACAGCCTCAATTTGTCGGGGCTTGGACTCTACAAGGTGTCGAAAGCGTTCCACAGGGATACTGGCCCATGTTGACTCCAATGCTTCCCACAGTTGTGTCAAGTTGGCTGTATGTCCTTTGGGTGATGGACCATTCTTGATACACGCAGGAAACTGTTGAGCGTGAAAAGCCCAGCAGCGTTGTAGTTCTTGACACACTCAAACCGGAGCGTCTGGCACCTACTACCATACCCCGTTCAAAGGCACTTAAATATTGCCCATTCACCCTTTGAATGGCACACATACACAATCCATGTCTAAATTGTCTTAAGGCTTAACAATCCTTCTTTAACCTGTCTCCTCCCCTTCATCTACACTGATTGACATCAATAAGGGATCATAGCTTTCACCTGGATTCACCTGGTCAGTCTATGTCATGGGAAGATTGGTGTTCCTAATGTTTTGTACACTCAGTCCGATTTTTTTTTTTAATGAGAGGACAAGCGTTAATGTCGAGCCCTGGGATGTCAGAAAATCCTCTGAGTGAAGCAGAGATAACCTGAAGCTTATGATGAGGCTGAGGGTGGAGGCCACGTACCCGTCACATATGTCCCGGGAGTACTCTAGGGAGTAGCTGCGTGTTATCTGGGAGGGGGTGATCTCCTCCATGGTCTGGTTGGGGGGGTGGTCATGCAGGGAGGTGGCCCGTAAAAGAGGCAGGCTGGGTGTGAAGAATAGGGAGTCCTGGTCCCCCTGGTCCCTCTGGTCCCCCTGGTCCTCCTCAGCCTGTCCCGTCTCCTCAGCCTCTCCTCCTTCAGCTGGTCCCTCCATCGTCTCTGCCTCCTTTCCCTCTCCCTGTTCACGTTCCTCTTCCTCCATCTCTTCTTCCTCCTCCCTCTCGTCCAGTACCCAGGCCTCTCCAGACTGGCCCTCCCCAGGCTTACGTTCTGCATCCTGGATGGCTTTCTGGTACAACTCTGAGAAACTCCTAGAGCCATCAGAGACAGCAAGAGAGTAAGATAATATACACCAACAACATGTTATTACTGAGGAAATATTCATACTTCCCTTTTTAAGCATTCAGTTTATTCATGAATGATACAGCCCAGTAAGCAAAATTACATTGAAAAGACGTCTTTGCCAGATGTTGAAGTTAGGTTCATTTTAGGTGCTGAATGAAAGGTGAAAAGACGGAATTTACAGACGTTGAAAATATGTATTTTTTTGGTCATTGATTCTATGGCCAAATTTCAACTGCACATCCATTCTCAATGAAGTAAGCATTATATCACAATAATATTAAAAAATTTTTATAGGAAAGAGGAGCTAAATGTAGATTGCAACATCTGTCACATGCACTTATGTTAGCTTTTTCAAAAACTTTAAAACTGGCAGTGATGATGTTCAAAGTACTCCAACCTACAGAATAAACCAACAGATCATTTCAACTACAATAACATTCTGACTAACAGTTACAGAAAAATATATATTGTTATGACTGTAATATGTTGTTGTTTATCTACCTTAGTAGAATACACTGACTGTAAGTCACTCTGGATAAAAGTGTCTGCTTAATGACAGTGGTTCCCACAGTTTGGGAAGCACTGCTGTAGAGCTCAGTAGAGTACAGTAGAGTACAGTAGAGTAGAGTACGGTAGAGTAGAGTACAGTAGAGTACCGTAACGTATGGTTAGGGACAGTAGCATTTAATTCAGTAGAGTACAGTAGAGTAGAGTTGAATTCAGTAGAGTACAGATAAGTAAAGTACAGTTTGGTAGAGCATTGTACATTAGAGTAAAGTAGGGTACAATACAGTACACGCTACTGTGCTATACTGTACTCTGTGGATGTTGAAATCAATGCCTGTGTCAGTTCGTGCTTAGTGGGAGTATTCTAGAGCAGTACCTCCGAGCCAGACGGATAAGGAGGATTTACAGTGAGGGAAAAAAGTATTTGATCCCCTGCAGATTTTGTATGTTTGCCCATTGACAAAGAAATTATCAGTCTATAATTTTAATGGTAGGTTTATTTGAACAGTGAGAGACAGAATAACAACAAAAAAATCCAGAAAAACGCATGTCAAAAATGTTATAAATTGATTTGCATTTTAATGAGGGAAATAAGTATTTGACCCCCTCTCAATCAGAAAGATTTCTGGCTCCCAGGTGTCTTTTCTACAGGTAACGAGCTGAGATTAGGAGCACACTTTTAAAGGGAGTGCTCCTAATCTCAGTTCGTTACCTGTATAAAAGACACCTGTCCACAGAAGCAATCAATCAATCAGATTCCAAACTCTCCACCATGGCCAAGACCAAAGAGCTCTCCGAGGATGTCAGGGACAAGATTATAGACCTACACAAGGCTGGAATGGGCTACAAGACCAACGCCAAGCAGCTTGGTGAGAAGGTGACAACAGTTGGTGCGATTATTCGCAAATGGAAGAAACACAAAATAACTGTCAATCTCCCTCGGCCTGGGGCTCCATGCAAGATCTCACCTCGTGGAGTTGCAATGATGATGAGAACGGTGAGGAATCAGCCCAGAACTACATGGGAGGATCTTGTCAATGATCTCAAGGCAGCTGGGACCATAGTCACCAAGAAAACAATTGGTAACACACTACGCCATGAAGACTGAAATCCTGCAGCGCTCGCAAGGTCCCCCTGCTCAAGAAAGCACATATACAGGCCCGTCTGAAGTTTGCCAATGAACATCTGAATGATTCAGAGGAGAACTGGGTGAAAGTGTTGTGGTCAGATGAGACCAAAATCGAGCTCTTTGGCATCAACTCAACTCGCAGTGTTTGGAGGAGGAGGAATGCTGCCTATGACCCCAAGAACACCATCCCCACCGTCAAACATGGAGGTGGAAACATTATGCTTTGGGGGTGTTTTTCTGCTAAGGGGACAGGACAACTTCACCGCATCAAAGGGACGATGGACGGGGCCATGTACCGTCAAATCTTGGGTGAGAACCTCCTTCCCTCAGCCAGGGCATTGAACATGGGTCGTGGATGGGTATTTCAGCATGACAATGACCCAAAACACACGGCCAAGGCAACAAAGGAGTGGCTCAAGAAGAAGCACATTAAGGTCCTGGAGTGGCCTAGCCAGTCTCCAGACCTTAATCCCATAGAAAATCTGTGGAGGGAGCTGAAGGTTCGAGTTGCCAAACATCAGCCTCGAAACCTTAATGACTTGGAGAAGATCTGCAAAGAGGAGTGGAACAAAATCCCTCCTGAGATGTGTGCAAACCTGGTGGCCAACTACAAGAAACGTCTGACCTCTGTGATTGCCAACAAGGGTTTTGCCACCAAGTACTAAGTCATGTTCTGCAGAGGGGTCAAATACTTATTTCCCTCATTAAAATGCAAATCAATTTATAACATTTTTGACATGCGTTTTTCTGGATTTTTTTGTTGTTATTCTGTCTCTCACTGTTCAAATAAACCTACCATTAACATTATAGACTGATCATTTCTTTGTCAGTGGGCAAACGTACAAAATCAGCAGGGGATCAAATACTTTTTTTCCCTCACTGTATATATTTATACTTATGAAGAAACATGGAATCTCTTTGAAATCCAATTAGTGTCATTCCCTATCACAAGATGTGACAACTTTGTGACAGCCGCCACACTTTTTGGGTTGTTGTTGAACATGACTGTCAAAGCAGCATCCACTAATGAGGGGCTTCTATCGCTCTAGATATTTCCACTAGCCAGTTTGACATGTGGTAAGCAAAGTTGTGAAGCTAATATCCTGTTTAGTGTTCCCTTTCCTCTATCTGAGCAGTTCCTCCTTTACCAGGCCACAATCTGGTTGACATTAAAATAATGTAGAGGTTTCAGCTAACGGCCACTACCTTGGCCACTATCATTAGAGGCCATTAGAGCCATTGATTGGTGGTTAGCCAGCTGGTGGCACACTGAATACAGCACGCCATAAACAATAGAGTGAGCTGTGACCCTGGCATGGTGCCTCCCTGGCCTCCTGAGTTAATCAGCCCTCCCTCCTCCTCCTCCTTTAACCCCTCATCCCCTCATCAACATTACTCTTCACCTACTACACTACTAAAACACTTTACAAGCCCCATCCCTCTCTCCATATCTGCCTCTCCCCTAATCCTCGCCATGTTACCCTCCCCTCTGTCCTCTATCCCCATCCATCTCTCACTCCCCCTAACCCCCCTCTCTGACCTGCGGGGCTTGCCGTTCTCATCTGGAGGGATGACGGTGATGTGGATCTTGTGGGCGGTGCGGAGCAGTCTGGCTCTCTCCTCCGGCCCCAGGTGCACCAGGGCGTGACCACACAGCCGCACCACCCGCGCCCCCAGCTGCAGACCCCCACTCTCCGCATAGCCAAATCGCTGCAGGTCCGTCACAAAGCCTTCCTCGCTCATCAGGAAGCCTGGCTGGCCCACCCCGTCACGCAGCGGGGTCACCTCCCGCGCCTCGCAGCCCCGCGTCACCAGCTAAAGACAACAACAGGACACAGTGAGTTGAAAACAGTTATGTAACATCGGAACAGAAACCATGATGCAATAACACCATATTAGCAGTGGTGTTTGAAAGCCTTCCCACTCACCTCCAGTCTCTGCACCATCTCCCGTATCTCCTCTGCCTGGCTGTCCATCACACTGATTAACACTGCCTCCCCCCTCTCATAGAAGATATCCAGGAAAGGCCAGCCGATGGTCCTGCTGTCTGTCACCGCTTTCCAGCCAATCACGTCGCGGCAGCAGCAGTTGAACACCACCCTCCGTGTGTATCTCTCGATCAGCACCACTGATTCAGCTGAAACCCCCAATAGACAGGGCAGCTTTTGTCCTCCTGTCTCCTCCTCATTCCCACTGGTGGCCATCACAGCCCAGACTAGCGCCCCAGCACTGTGAAGCTCTGCCCCCTTGGCCCCCTTCAGTTTGTCTTTGCGCTTGCCCCCCAGTGACAGCAGGGGGAACTTGGTGGAGGAGTCGATGGGCGTGGTGGTCACGTAGTTCTCTGCCAGGTCCTTCAGGTACTCCTGTCGTGTACGCATGGCCATGGAGCGGAACTTCTCCGCCTTCTCGGCAGCGTTCTCAGCGTTCACCGCCTTGGCCAGCAGGAAGTCTCTGAAGGCAGGGGAACGGGGGAATCGAGCACCCTTAGGGAACAGAGGCCCGAATAACGGGATGTCTTTGGAGCGTGTCACCGCCACCCTGGGGGAGAGAGATATTGTCAGGGTAAAAAAATCCAAAATCCAACACCATAATCATAGTCTTGCAGCACAGTCCTAGTTTTGATACCCTTGTAAATACAATGTGATAACAGTAAACATGTTGTTACACAGTACTTACACCTGTAATCTCTGCAGATAAACATACAGAGACATTGTGGAGCAGCCAGGGACAGTGGTACAGCAGGAGACATACAGAGACAGTTGTGGAGCAGCCAGGGACAGTGGTACAGCAGGAGACATACAGAGACAGTTGTGGAGCAGCCAGGGACAGTGGTACAGCAGGAGACATACAGAGACAGTTGTGGAGCAGCCAGGGACAGTGGTACAGCAGGAGAGAAGGATCTTATCTCACCTGTAGTAGGTGTGGTCAGAGCAGGACTGTTCCACCTGGACGATGATGAAGACATGTTGGAAATGGGAGCGGATGGCCTTAGGAGTGAAGGGCAGAGCCCCTGGCTCCTGGAACACTATGGTCACTATGTCATTCCCTATGTGCCTCTTCCTCAGCAACTACAGTACCAGAGAGAGATAGAGAGAGAGAGGGGGGAAGAGGGAGAGGGTTAGAGGTGGTCAAGAGAGCTGTTAATACATTTTGGTTATTTAATCCACTAATGATCATGTGCAGTTAGTTATTTGGTGTTAGTTATTTGCACGGTGTCGTGTTTCCAAATCACATTTTACATTTTAGTGATTTAGCAGACGCTCTTATCCAGAGCGACTTACAGTTAGTGAGTGCATACATTATTATTTAAAAATATATATTATTATATATTTTTTCATACTGGCCCCCCGTGGGAATCGAACCCACAACCCTGGTGTTGCAAACGCCATGCTCTACCAACTGAGCTAAATCCCTGCCGGCCATTTCCTCCCCTACCCTACCCTGGACAACGCTGGGCCAATTGTGCACCACCCCACGGGTCTCCCGGTCGCGGCCGGCTACGACAGAGCCTGGATTTGAACCAGGATCTCTAGTGGCACAGCTAGCACTGTGATGCAGTGCCTTAGACCACTGTGCCACTCGGGAGGTTGGCACAGAAGAGCTGACAGATGTGAGAGGCTCCCCAGCCTGACGGCCAGCCAAACAGACAGAGAGGCAGTAGCTCACTAACTATAGTGTATGGGCTTTTAGAGTGGGAGTTGGACATAGAAACGCAGAGGAACAAATAATTTGCCTGCCATGCTTATTGTGCGACATTATTCAAGTTTGAAAGCCTTCATTTGAATATGGGGAAATGTGTAGGTTTTACCACCAAAGAATATTGATACCATGAACACAGAATCAAGAAGATTATTTTTCATACATTTTCGCCAGGAATGTTGCTTGTGGAAGTTGATTATTCTCTTCAATATTTGCCAAAAAAAGACCTAACTATGCTTGTATAAAAGATCCGTTTTAGATGAAAAGGGAATTTCTAAACAACCATATTATTACATTATCGTTACTATGGCTTAAAGTTATCTGACTGGGTTTTACTTAGTGTCCTGTAAAGCAGTGTGTAGTGTGTATATGTATTGTGTGTTGTTTGTTACCTGTTGTGTGTTGTTGGCTGTGTACGGCAGCATGGTGGACACATGAAACATGACCTCAAAGTCCTGGTAGCGCGTGTAGAGGGACTGGATCCCCGTGGAGTCCGCTGTATATACACACACACACACACACGCACACGCACACACATTGAAAGATTTACACACGTCGTTATCAGCCTCGAAGCTAACAAAGTGAGAGTCTCCAGATAGTGTAAACACAGACTAAAAACCTATCAGTCTGACTTTAAGTGCTGAGATTACACAGTGATAGACAGTATAGAGATAAAGGACACACAGTGACTATACAACTTCTCCCAATTACTGGTACGATTACACCGTGTTAGATAGTGTTTATCTTATGTGTTCACTGGCCCTGATGCCCTGTAGATTACATGACATTACATTTTAGTGATTTAGCAGATGCTCTTATCCAGAGCGACTTACATGAGCATAGCGTGTGACTGAATATATACACTGAACAAAAAATATAAATGCAACGTGCAACAATTTCAACGATTTTACTGAGTTACAGTTCATATAAGGAAATCAGTCAATTGAAATAAATAAATTAGGCACTAATCTATGGATTTCACATGACTGGGAATACAGATATGCAACTGTTGGTCACAGATACCTTTAAAAAAAGGTAGGGACGTGAATGAGAAAACCAGTCAGTGTGTCCACCATTTGCCTCATGCAGCGTGACACATCTCCTTCGCATAGAGTTCATCAGACTGTTGACTGTGGCCTGTGGAATGTTGTCCCACTCCTCTTCAACAGCTGTGCGAAGTTGCTGGATATTGATGGGAACTGGAACACACTGTTGTACACGTCGATCCAGAGCATTCCAAACATGCTCAATAGGTGACATGTCTGGTGAGTATGCAGGCCATGGAAGACCTTTTCAGCTTCCAGGAATTGTGTACAGATCCTTGCAACATGGGGCTGTGCATTATCATGCTGAAACATGAGGTGATGGCGGCGGATGAATGGCACAACAATTGGCCTCAGGATCTCTTCACGGTATCTCTGTGCATTCAAATTGCCATTGATAAAATGCAATTGTGTTCATTGTCCGTAGCCTATGCCTGCCCATACCATAACCCCACCGCCACCATGGGGCACTCTGTTCACAACGTTGACATCAGCAAACCGCTCGCCCACACAACGCCATACACGCTGTCTGCCATCTGCCCGGTACAGTTGAAACTGGGATTCATCTGTGAAGAGCACACTTCTCCAGCTTGCCAGTGGCCATCGAAGGTGAGCATTTGCCCACTGAAGTCAGTTAAGAAGCCGAACTGCAGTCAGGTCAAGACCCTAGGGGAGGACGACGAGCACGCAGATGAGCTTCCCTGAGACAGTTTCTGACAGTCTGTGCAGAAATGATTCTCTTGTGCAAACCCACAGTTTCATCAGCTGTCCAGGTGGCTGGTCTCAGACCAAACCCCGCAGGTGAAAAGGCCGGATGTGGAGGTCCTGGGCTGGCGTCGTTACACGTGGTCTGTGGTTGTGAGGCCGGTTGGACATACTGCCAAATTCTCTAAAACGATGTTGGAGGCGGCTTATGGTAGAGAAATGAACATTAGATTCTCTGGCAACAACTCTGGTGGTCATTCCTGCAGTCAGCATGCCAATTGCACGCACCCTCAAAACTTGAGACATCTGTGGTATTGTGTTGTGTGACAAAACTGCACATTTTAGAGTGGCCTTTTATTGTCCCCAGCACAAGGTGCACCTGTGTAGCTTCTTGATATGCCACACCTGTCAGGTGGATGGATTATCTTGACAAAGGAGAAATGCTCACTTACATGGATGTAAACAAATTTATACACAACCTTTGAGAGAAATAAGCTTTTTGTGCTATGGAAAATTTTGGGGATCTTTTATTTCAGCAAATGAAACATGGGACCAACACTTTACAAGTTGCATTTATATTTTTGTTCAGTATATATCCTGCCTGTAGATAATGTGTAGATAGTGTAATAATGAATGTATGTGCAGTGCTCACTCTTGGTGTCCAGCTGAGCGCGGTACTTCTCCCAGCCCTTCAGCTTCACTCGCTCCCCCAGGAGGTCCAGGAACTCTTCGAAAGCCGGCCCAGAGCTCTCGTTATTGTACATGTCCTCCTCAGAGCTTTGGCCTGCACGGCAGTACATCACTCCCACCTTCCTCTGGAAGTTCAGCTAGACAGATAGATAGATAGATAGATAGATAGAGAGAGAGAGAGAGAGAGAGAGAGAGAGAGAGAGAGAGAGAGAGAGAGAGAGAGAGAGAGAGAGAGAGAGAGAGAGAAGAGAGAGAGAGAGAGAAGAAGAGCAGAGATAGAGAGAGAGAGATAGAGAGAGAGCGAGAGATAGAGAGAGAGAGAGAAAGAGAGAGGGAGAGAGGATAGAAGTGAGAGTAGATGAGAATCACTTTTCATTAAATCTCTGAATGCCTGTTCAAGTTCAAGTGATAGTATCAGAATGGATAGATCAGACACATTTCTCTGTAGACTGTACCAGAGGTTTACGTGACCCATCTCAAAGAGTATCCTGATGGATCTGACATCTTATTGGCCATGCACAGAACACTGAGAGGGGTCAACTCAGGGGTTCTCCTGTTGCAGTGGAAGACGAGGCAGCGTGGGTGTTTCCTACTCACCCCCTGTTCGTCCAGCTTGAGCAGGGTGTCTCGGACCTTGGGCGAGGTGGAGGCCAGGCGCAGGCAGTGGAGGTTGAGGTCAGGGATGATGAACTCCAGGAGCCTCTTGGGAGACAGGCCGCGCGGGGTGGTGTGGCGGGCCGCTGAGGGCACGGACTCCTCCAGGATGGAGCCTCGCAGAGTCTTCAGCTGGGAGGCAGGGACAGTCCAGAGGGGTGTGAGTAGATGGATAAATTAGTGTTTTCATGTGCAATAATAGTAAGTATGGGTATGTGTATTGTGTGAATGACAGTATGTATTCATAAAAGGATCTATAAGTCCGTCAAAACTGTATACTAATATCGACCGTGAGTGTGTAGTGTAGACTGACCTCAGTGGTTCTGAAGATGATTCTGTAGTTATACTGAGCTCCACTGGATCCCTCCTTCTCCTCTCTACGGAAGCTGATGGCCACTGGACCCAAGCGGTCGTCCATACCAAAGAAGTTCTGATGATCTGAGGAGTGGAAAGAAATGTCCGTATAACGTCGTTGTTGACTAACACAAACAGCCTCATTAATTTATTCAAGAAAAGCAAACATGATGTCTCACACACACCGACGCAGCACTCACCTTTCATGTAGAAGTATTTGCGGTAGTAGTGGGCTCCCAGGTCTGCATGTTCTATGAAGTAGTTGCTCTTGCCCTGCTGCTGGACGTGGCTCTCTCTGGGTTCCTCCAGTACTGACACTGCATCATTGGGGTTCCTCAGGCTCAGCCACAGGCCCCCTCTGCCCTGCGTACGCCCCAGGCCCGCCCGCTCCTCACCCCCCATCTCGTTACGGAAGTGTGGGCAGCTGAGCAGCAGTTCGTTGTCGTTGCCGTCTCCCTCGTCCAGCAGACACTGCTCCGGGTCCTCCACAGCCCCCCCACCACCGCCCCCACCCTGCGAGGGCGAGGAGGGCGTGGCCTGGTTGAGGGGGCGCATCGTTGAGGCGGCCGACGCCCCTGAGGTGATGTTCTTTTTGCGGCTGATGCTGTCTCGGTTGCTGGCTACTTTCGTGAGGTCAAACAGAATGCTCTGGACATCATAGTGGGCAAAGTTCCTGACCCAGGCTCCGCCCTCCAGGTTGTCATGAGGACCTGGTTGGGGGATCTGTGGGGGTGAAGGCTTGGCCTTCTTGCTCAGCCCCTCAGGCTTGGGGGGCTTGGCTGGTTTTGGGGTGTCTCCTGTGGGGGCGGACAGAGCCCTGAAGAAGCCGTCTGGTTCTGGGGGGGTTGCATGCAGGCCCAGCAGCAGGAAGGGGTCTTTGAAGCGGAGGGCGTTGGGGCTCAGAGCTCCCTGGTCCTCTGCACTGAGCTCCTGGGTTCCTGACAGACCTGTCTGTTTTTCCAGTGAGGAGAGGCTGCCATATTCCCTGTGCAGCATCACCCCTGAGTCCCCCTGGGCCCCGGCACCTGCCTTCTCCCCCACCGCCCGTGTGGCCTTCCCTCCCGCCTTACCAGAAGAGTCCAGGTCACCCAGAGTCACGTCACTGTTGCTTCTCTGCATGATGTGTCCTCGGCCCACTGACCTCAGGTTCAGACCCACACGGTTCGGGGTAATAAGGCTCTCCCCATCTGCCCCCTCCCCGTCCCTCCTCGGGGGCCACTCCCCTGCCAGCACCCGCGCCCGTACCCCACCGTCCCGCTTAGAGTCAAAGTTGACCGTTGCCAGAGGAGGTCGTGGCCTCTGCCGGCAGAACTTGCGGAGGAAGAGGTCATCAGACTGCATGGTGCCTCAGACTCTAACTCCAATCCTCCAACTATCTCTCCTCACTTTCCCAGACCGGATGAGTAAAGGTACTACACGTGTTCCTCATCCACATTCAATAACAAAATGCAGAGGACTATTAGATGACAGTTATAAGTCCCACAGTCAGATACAATTATATGTTTTAGGTCTGGAAAACCTACACCCATTCCAAGTTCCTTTAGGACGTTCTCCAGCTCTGCAGATGACTACGATTCTGGTGTGCCCCAGTTGTGGTGTGCTCCAATTTAGGTTTGGTCCTGCTGGTAGAATGTACAGAGAGGAGAGTTACCATGAGACGAGCCCAGCTCTCTGTCCCCTGTCATCCATTCTCTTTGGTCTCTTCCACTGGTCACCTGTGCACAGAGACAAAGCAACGGTCATTGACCTCAGACACCCATCTCCCACCCACACTGCTATTATCCTTCCTGACACCTCAGCTTTCATTCAACCACTGAGGTTTTGTTCAATGGTTGCAAAGCAAACTATACACCAGTGTTTTTTAAGCCCCTTTGTCAAAACATTATCCTGAAATTCGAATGCATTTCTTTTCAACAATGACGGGTAGAAATCGAAATGTTCTGTATTGTTTTACCTCTCAATACTTGCATTATGATGTTTTCCTTTCCAAAAATAGCTGCCAACCAGTCGTACGTGGCCCACCACATCCCCCCCTACGGACAGTCACAATAGTACACTGTGGGAAGGGGGAGGGGACCTTCCTGTCCTAAAACAGCTTAAGAATAAAATAGTAATAAACATAACAATGCTGGCCAGCCTGCCAACAGAATAAAACTCTCTCTATCTCTCTCTCTCTGTCATATACAGTGTCTATTTTGTATACAGTAGCCTGCTGTGTGTCTAAGACAATTTTCCCCTCAGAGACATTAAAGTTCATCCTCTCCTATCATATACAATCCCCAGAGAAAGTAGAAACATTAAACGCCACCAGACTTGTAAATCCACACAACCCCACACCTTATCTGACATCCAACTGTAACACAGCCTTGCTTGCGCATTTTATTTTATGGTCACATTTGCTCATAAATTGTCATATTCCACCAACTCTCTCTCTCTCTCTCTCTCTCTCTCTCTCTCTCTCTCTCTCTCTCTCTCTCTCTCTCTCTCTCTCTCTCTCTCTCTCTCTCTCTCTCTCTCTCTCTCTCTCTCTCTCTCTCTCTCTCTCTCTCTCTCTCTCTCTCTCTCTCTCTCTCAATCAATGCAAGTCAATGGTACCTATTTTAGCATTTTCAAAATCATGTCCAAATCATCTATAAGTAACTCCTTTGAGTTACACAATAATTTTTTAGATACTTTAGGATGATTTGGACCGGAAGGGCGAAAATATAGTGAGGATATTAATAGTGAGATGTCCAATGTCATTTTGTTCCGATATTTGATTTATTTAATTTAAATAAGACACCTAGACTTAACCTTTTAAGAGTTAATTACTAAATAATTACTAAATAAAACGTATTAAATTGATTTTAACACACTAATCTTTAGGTGCCATTTTGTCCCATAGAGGGAGGCTTTGTTATTGAATAACAAAACAAAACAATTGTTTGCCTAAGGATAGCCAGTATGTACATATCTAAATCTTACAAAACCTTGCTTATTTTCTGTCCAAAAATCGACATTTCCCTTTTCCCCCAAGGTACCCTACAGTAAGTGATAGAGTAGGTGTCATTTCATCATCTACAGTTATTCTAAACATCCTCATTCTTTCTCATTACAGACCATTTGTTTCAGATTAAATCACAGGAGAAAATAGGTTGTTTGCAAATGAATTTCCTCAGTTCCAGACATCCCTTTCTCTGTTCCCTTCTCTCTGATCAAATTGACGTCAATCACACAATATCAGAAACCAGTTGGTCTTTAATACAAAGGTGAGATTCTTCTACATTGTAAAGGCTGCTTCCTGTCTCGCTATTTGTCATGCATCTCCTGTCTCGAGATGATTGTCAGCCTCGAGAGCAGGTGCAGTGATGCAGCTCAACTCAGCTTCCTGGTGCACAGAACGCTGCAGAGATGTTGAGGTGACTGGTGAGTGAGGAAGTAATATCTCTCTCTCGCTCTCTCTCTCTCTCTCTCTCTCTCTCTCTCTCTCTCTCTCTCTCTCTCTCTCTCTCTCTCTCTCTCCATCTCTCTCTCTCTCTCTCTCCATCTCTCTCTCTCTCTCTCTCTCTCTCTCTCTCTCTCTCTCTCTCTCTCTCTCTCTGCCTCTGCCTCTGCAATTCACCTTCTGTCCCAATAAAGGAACAACCCACCTATGCCTGGTTGCATAAATACAATATTTCTTGGCCTAGACCATGATAACATGTTTGGAGATACATTCTGACATATCTCTAGCTATGTACTGGATGCCCTTAACCGCAGCAATTCACTCTGATATCTTTTCTGGATAATATAATTTTTTTACTGAAGCAAATCAGGTTAAGACTTGTTCAAGGACAGAGCAGCAGCTTCCAGCTCCCTGCTGGTACCAAGCCCAACCACTTACTTTCCATCCAAGGATTCTGAATCTCCCAGCATAGTGTCCTGACTTGTGGGAGTCAAGATGAAACTATGTGTACTCTGAAGGTGATAGCTGGGTATGCAAAATAGTTTAGGATAGAATTATTTGAAATATGAGTACACACTGAGCATATATGGAGTGTTGTTTTAGTTCAAGCCTGTACATCCACTGTTTAGCCATGCGTTCCCCCTGGGGCCACTCGATAGTTCCCTGGTGCTTTTAGTGAACCAATGGTACCATTCAGTCAATGGCTGATTGTAAGCACACAATCAACAATATCAAAAGCTGCATGCATCCACAACAAGTGGCCATTCATTTAATTAATCTCTTTTAACAACACAATAACACATGCTAAATATTTGATCAATCCAGTCTCTTTTTTCATTCTCATGCATTATAAATTGATTGCCAGCTTACAGTAAAGCTGGAAATTCAGTGGTTTAGTTCCCTTGTTCATCAAAACCATATAAAGGCCTGCAGAGGAACCTGTCAAATCATTCTACTCCCATGTTCTGTGGGTTGACAAAGAGCAGGGCTGGCCCTAGCCTTTTGGGGGCCCAAGGCAGGACATACTGTATATTAAAGTAAGGCATCAGACTGATAAAGGGAAGCTTTAACTAGTCCAGTACTGTATGTGATGTTCTCTAACTGCCCAGTGAGACTTCTGGTTCAACTACGCAATAGGGGTCTATGGTGACCACAGGTTCCTCCTAATCTCACTTCTGTGCATAGCTGTAGAGGTTCACTTCTCCATCCCCCACAGACTACTATCCAACATGTCAGGTGGTTTCTGTGTCTAACAGGGTAACGAGTGACTGTTGAATGTATCAAAGTTATAGCGTGAAAGGTTCCCCCACCCTAAAGGCCATATGAACTAACCAAGTTCTATCACATCTGTCACTTCCTTTAAACGAAATTCAATATCTATTTAGCTAGATCTGCATTTGGGCTTTCCTTCAAACAAAAGGTAGAGGACAGGATGTTAGTTTAGCAACTTTATAGAACAATTGGTTAATGTTTTTCATTTGAAACACCTATGAAGGAGAGCTTAAAGGAACGTTTAAAAAATGTTCAACTTCGTATTCATCATTTCCAGCATCACCCCAACAACACTTATCTTCCTCTATCTTTTTTATTTCAAAACCTAGAAATGGGCAAATTTCACATATGTTGATGTTGGGGTGGTGCTGGAGATGTTGAATTTAAGAGATCAATATACATACTCCACTATATTTTATGCATGAAGTTCATAATACAGTAAATCACAATAACCTACAAATTGCAGTGTTTTTCCTCTTCTATCAAAGGATTAAGCAAAGAGGGATCACCCAAGACATGCAGCCAAGGGATTAAAGGGCTCTCCAGGACTTTCTGAAGATTGGGAGCGTTCATTGTGACCGTTCAGCAGTCCCACTTCACAGTCCACACATCCCCTCAAGAAACCAGAGAGCAGAGCAATCTCAGTGCCTCAGTAGCCCAACCAGGCATGCACTGCCTCACTACATCATTAAGCTGGAACACTGGTGTTTGATGCAGTGTCTAACCATGCTGATAAAACACTGCTAGCAGTGAGTGGCTGCTAATGATCTCAGATCTCAGTCTCTATCCCGAGTATCTTCGCTCTCTGTGTGACCTGTGTTGAACCAATCTTTATAACAGGACTTTACAGGTACTACAGTATGTCTGTGTCAGACCTGGGTTCAAATACTATTTTGGGTATTTAATTTACTTTCAAAGACATTTGGAAGTAAGTATTTAGATCTTTTTCAAGTAGTTGAATATTGGAATGTATTTGGAAGTACTCAAATATACTGACTCAAATACACTCCAATTAATTTAACCCAGGTATTTTTAAATAGTATTTGAAATAATCTATTTGAACCCAGGTCTGGTCTGTGTTGGGCTCATGTTTTCTAGTGTCTTTCACCAGCTCAGGTCATGAGCGTTCAGCACAGCGGGGGTCTCCATCCTGTTTGGTGTACATGCTAGACCCAGGACAAGGCTACAGGGTGTGTGCTGTCCGGATGTTACTATAAAAAGGAGGTCATAGGGCTGCCATGGTGACCATACACCCACTTTAGGGAAGCCATGTTTCCTGGACAATTTTCTTTTTACACCATCTCTGACCCCTCCTCCCTTCGAGGCTGCGTCCTGAACAGCAGGAAGTGATGTCACATGCATCCTGACCTTTTAACCGTCAGAGAATGGGTGTCGTCATCATCACATCCTTGCTCTGCTCTCCCCCTCCCATCATGACTAACTGGACTGTTGTATCAGAGAGACCTGGCAGCCTTCAGCCTGCCAACTATACATCTCTGTTCAACTCCCGACTTTCATCTCACATGCTTTCATCAAGATTACATCTGATGCATTTTTAAGCTCCTTCTCATCAGCAAATCATTTTGAGGGGAAAAACAACAAAAGTATTTATGAATAGATTATATATTGTATTTGGTGTAGCCTA